GTCTGGCAGAATTAATGCCTGCTTGAGTGTGGTTGTTAGGGTAATAATATGGGCGATTATACCCATACTATAAAACTATAAAGTTTATAGTTTTAATTTGAACATTTCACCTAAAATGTCATATGGTATCCTTGCATGTGATATTGTTATATTATAGAATTACATGCTTATGATTTTGTAATAAAAGATTTTATAATAAAAAGGGGTGTTTTTTGTGCCAGACCCTATATAGTCTATCATCTTGAAGGGTAGAGTTTACCTGAGGGCTACAAATTATCTAGGTATTCTCTATGTCATTCAGGTAAACTTCCCTAAAACTTGTTATTTATTTTTCTACAAGCTATATTTTAGAACAATAAAGTAAAATGAAAAATTAGAATGAGCATCCTTATTTTTTAAAAGATTTTATTTATTTTTAGAGAGAGGGGAGGGTAGAAAGAGAAAAACATCGATGTGCGAGAGATATATCGATTGGCTTGTTGCCTATCGTATGCCCCCAACTTGAGTCCTGGCCAACAACCCAGGCATGCATGCTTACTGGGAATGGAACCAGTGATCTTTTGGTTCACAGGCCGGCACTCATTCCACTGAGCTACACCAGTCATGGCAGGATGAGAGAATCTTGAATCTCTGGAATGTTGTTGACTTTCACAAAATATACTAGATATTTTCACATTATCGCCATAGAGACATAACACTACCTCAGAAAGCCAAGCTGCTATAACAAAATAAATTAAATAAATAAACAAACCAAAAAAATCAATGTATAGCATGGATAAAATATTATATTTTAAGCATCTTCAAAAGGGCCAGGTTTTATAGCTGAGTCTCAGAGGAAATAGTTTTGTGGAACTTTTATGAGTTTTCCAATCAGTGCATTGCATTGCATAAAGCATGTATGTGTATTTCAGTACCTAGATACTAGTACGAGTTTGTTTGAGAATGGCTTGGAGACATATGGGCTAGGAATATCTGACCCAGCTTCCTGCCTCCAAAATTTAAAAGCCAGGAAGTAAATTTTTTAATGTTATGAGCATAATGAAACAAATGGTCATATATTTTATCCTTTGATCTTGACAACATTACTGTTGGAAAATTCCTCAGCTCATTCTCAAGTCTGCTTATTTCTTTAACTTTTCACACAGTTTTAAAGATTATATATAAATTACATGAGTGATAGTACAATTATGCAAAATTCTAGACCAATAGCACAATTTTGAGAACTTCTGAATTAAAGGTATACTGGTATGTGTCAAAGGTATATTGATGTGTGAAGTTACTTTTTTTTTTTTATCTCCCAGAGTCACTGGGTCACTCAGTAGTCTCACTGGATCTTAAATAATTTATTAAGAGACATTTAAAGCCCTCAGAATCTATATCTACACACTACTATCCTTATCACACAATATGTGCCTTAAGGCCCAACATTCCTGGACTTGATTCTGATTAGAACTTAGTTCTGTTCAAGGATGGCAAATCTTTTATTCCGAGACATATTTGTTACCACACATATTGTGGCTTAGTTTATATCTAAAGATATTTATGATCTGACTTCCAGTCAGGATGGCAGCATAAGTAAACATGGCTGACTTCCTCACACAACCACATCAAAATTACAACTAAAATATAGAACAACCATCACACAGAACAGTCAGCAAACAAGTTGAATGGAAATCTGTCAACTAAATTAAAGAAACCACATCCATTCATACTGGTAGGAGAGGCAGAGATACAGAACAGGCAGGTCTCACACCCACCTGTGGTGGATAAAAATTCATGAGGGATATCTCAGGAGCAAGGAGTCCCAGCCCCGTACCAGGACCCCCAGCCCAGGGTTTCAGTGATAGGAAGATAATTCCCAAGAACTTCTGGCTGCAAAAATGAGTGGGGATTGAGTTGGTAGAAGAAGCTGCTATAGTCCCAAATGGTTCCTCTTAAAGAACCCACATATTGACTTACTCAGACTCACTCCCTCTGACCTCCAGAACCACAGTAGCGGTTTGAAAGGCACCAGTGGCATACAGGAAGGAACTGAAATGTCTGGCATAAAAACAAAAGCTGGAGGACATCTTTCTCTCAGACAGAAAGGCAGGCAGAGGCCATTGTCCTTTTTCTGAACCCTGTTCCAATGGAACCACAGAGCCACCAGGCTGGTGCTATTCTATCTGAGACTCCATCAACCTGGCTAACACTGTTTGCCCTGTCCTAGAGAACCCCGGAGACTCTATTCCACCCAACTTACGGGCCAATCCAGGCTGCTTTTTCCTGTGAATGGCTATTTTTGGCTCATTCTTCACAACTTCCCAAATCCTCTTAAGCAATAGCCAGCCTCAGTGAGCCCCTAAGGCCCCTACCTCCTGCTAAGTGGCTCCAGGCACAGCACTAGCAGCAACCAGCCTAGATTCACAGCTTGGCTTCACCTGGGAATCTCTAAGACCAGTGCAAGTAGTAGCCACCTCAGATTGCCTTATTGCTCAGGCACAGTGGCTCAGGGCAAAACACAGATGAGGACTAAACTTTGCCTGCACCATCTGGGGAAACCCTAGAGCTTGTGCACCCAGTGGGCAGCTACAGACCACACTGGAGCACCATCACCCTGCCCCTGCACAGCTAGTCCTCCACAGAGGGTACAGGTTGGTGGTCAGTGGCCATAGGCAGTTCCTGCAGCTGACTAGCCTGGGTATATTGACCTGCCAACAGCAATCAAGTCTCAACTATAAGAGAAGAGTATACTCAGCTCACATGAAGGGCACACCTCGAGTAACCCAGTTTGGATGATAGGAAAGGCTGTGCCACTGGGTCCTACCAGACACCTACTACATAGACCATGATACCAAGACAGGGAGTTTTAGCAGCTCTACCTAATACATAGAAAAAAACACAGGGAGACTACCAAAATGAGAAGACATAGAAACATGGCCTAAATGAAAGAACAGATGAAACTCCATAAAAAGAACTAAATAAAATGATAGGTAAGTAATCTATCAGATGCAAAGTTCAAAGCATGGTTATCAGGATGCTCCAGGAAATTAGTGAGGACCTTAGCAGCATAAAAAAGATCGAGCCAGAAATGAAGGATACACTAATTAAAATAAAGAACAATTTACAAGGAAACAATAGCAGAGTGGGAGAAGCTGAAAATCATATCAATGATTTGGAACATAAGAAAACAAAAAACAACCAATCAGAACAACTAGAAGAAAAAAGAATTTAAAAAAATGAGGATAATATAAGCAACCTCTGGGACAACTACAGTATTCCAACATTTGCATCATAGGGGTACCAGAAGGAGAAAAGATAGAAATCTATTTGAAAAAAATAATGAAAGAAAACTTCCCTGACTTCGTGAAGGAAATAAACATGCAAGTCCATGGAGCACAGACAATCTCAAACAAGGTGGATATAAGAGGCCCACTCCAAGACATATCACAATTAAAATGCTAAATGTTAAAGATAGAGAATCTTAAAACTAGCAAGAGAAAAGCATTTATTACCTACAGGGGAATTCCCATAAGACTGTCACTGATTTCTCAAAAGAAGCTTTGCAGGCTAGAAATATTTCATTGGCAAGAAATATTCCAAGTCATGAAAAGCAAGGACCTATATATAGTGAAGATTGCTCTACACAGCAAAGATATCATTTAGAAATGAAGGGCAGATAAAGAGCTTCACAGACCAGAAAAAAATAAAGGAGTTCATCATCACCAAACCATTATTATATGAAATATTAAAGGGACTTATTTAAGAAAAAGATCAAAACTATGAACAATAAAAATGGCAATAAATACATATCTATCAATAATTAAATCTAAAAAAAAACACCTGAGCACACAAAAAGAACAGAGACAGAATCATGGATACAGGGAGTGCATTGATGGTTGTCAGATGGGAGGGGGTGTGGGGTAATGGTAGTGATGAGGGGATTAAGAAGTACAAATAGGTAGTTACAGAATAGCCATGGGGATAAAAATAGTGTATAGGAACTGGAGTAGCCAAAGAACAGATGCATAACCCATGGACATGAACAATGGTGTGGGGATTGCCTAAGGGAGTAGGGGGGCGCTGGGTGATGGAGGCCGAAGGGGGAAAGATTGGTAAAACTGTAACAGCATAATCAATAAAATATAATTTAAAAAATAAAAAGTAAAGGTATTCATGATTCAGTCTTGATTTGTAAAATTTAATCATTTTTAAAAATGTTTTTTCACTGTTTCATTGACAAAGGAGTTAGACAGATATTTGATATTCTATCTCTCATCTAGGAGTATAACTCAGATACTATTTCACCATATAGCTTCATTTTTTTGTATAGAAATACTTTACCTAAATAAACTACAGTAATATTTAAAATTTCATCAATAAAATAAACAGAATTCTTAAGTTTAATAGCTGCCTTGCATTCACAAGAAAATGAGAAATATTTTTAAACAAACATCTTGATAGTTACATAATCTTATTCAAAATTAAGATGGCTTTGTTTTTTGTTGTTGTTGTTTTTTTGTAAATCACAGCAAAATGTTTAGTAGTGTGCTGATAAACTGGTGTTCCAGGGAAAAAAAAAAGCCTTGGTTTTAGTATTTGCCAATTTCTATGGCGTAAAACTGCCACCACTGACAACTGAAAAATGGTTTGGATGAAGTTTTTTTGCTACAGGAACATTTACATGTGAATCGCAAACCCACACACGTAGACACACCGTTCTATCCAAATGTACATACTTCCATTCTTCATCTTTTCTCTTAAAGAGGCCTGAGAAGATCAGCGTCTCCTGAGGCATGATATAAACCAGACAGTCTCTTACAAGAGGACACAACAAAGAAAAGAGATCACTGTCTGAGATAACTGACCCTCTTCTTCAGGAGAGACTGAATTTGAAGCATTACCTTTTCGACTGAAGTAGACATTTCAACAGCTTTAGTGTGTCCCCTAGAATTAGGGCCATGGTGAACTCCATTAAGCAAAGACATGACTACAAAACTCTTCAGAAACATCCTCAGGAACCATCATTGTCCCCATAAAATGGCAACATCCAGCCTGAGTGGCCCACAGACCAATAGTCCAAGATGCAGACAGAATCCAGTCCTTTAATTTTTTCTACTTCTCCAGCCGAGGCCACAAGCATTATGATGCTTTCCTTAGCATTAATTCAATCTGGGAAAATTTTAATCTTCGTGCAATATCCAGGGAACTCTCACCACCCTGACCAAAATAAATAAATAAATAAATAAATAAATAAATAAATAAATAAATAAATAATAGTTATTTATCTGTAGTAGAATCAAATGTCAACACAAAAGTTCCAGTTATCAGTTTAGACTGATTGACTCTAGGCTTAGCAAAGGCTTTAAATGTTATTAAGTTTTAAAAGTAATAGGATAACTTAATCACTATATCTTGCCATGTATAATGTGCACTTTTTTGCTCAAATTTTTGAGGGAAAAATAAGGCTGTGAATTATACATGGGTAGTGCTAATTTGATATCTATATAAAGGTTTTTAATTCTTTATGCGTTAAATGTGTAAATCTAGAGAACAATAACGATATCTATGTGTTCAAAAATGAATGTTAAGATTCCTTTATAATACAAAAAACAAGTATCTAAATATAAATAAATACATAATTGAATTAAAAATTAAAACAAAAGATTTTTTCCCTGAAAGTTTGGGCCAAAAATGTAGGTGTGCATTATACTCAGCAAAATACGGTATTTAATGAGAATGATTAATTTTGCTGTTAACATCAGACTCAATGGTAACTTAATTCAACACAAGTCCAGAGTTAGAAGATCAGGCTGCTGGAGATACCGCAGGCGATGGTCCACAGAGTCTTACCTTGTTTCTTTTCATGGGGTCTGCATGGGCTGCCAGGAGCAGCGGAATAAGACTCTGGTTTTTCATTTCACAGGCATAATGCAATGCAGTGTAGCCATACTGAAACACAATGGACCAACATTACAGCTCACCCATCAGACTCCACAGACTGTAGCACGTCACTTCCGCAGCAAGTGCTCCTCATATTTTGTATTGTACAGTTAAGCAAAACAGCCTGCAACCATCAATGTGCAACTACATTTTTGTTCCTAAAGTCTTTTCTGTCTCAATATGTTCATTATTAATGTTCTGTAAGTCATTAATATCTTCCTTTCTCATTTTCTGTTCCAAAGGTTGATGCTGATTTATCCTAAAGTTTTGTTGGGGTTTTTTTTGTAGAATTCTGTATGTCTGGCCAATCAGTACCTTGATCACATTACCATCTTTTCCCTTAGAGTCCTCACATGGGCCATTTTGCAGTTATCATCCTCTATGATTCTTAAAAACTCCACAGCCTGAAGAAAGTCGCTGATGCTCATATTACTAGAACACACTTACAAGACCAGTGCAGTTCATTATAGAAGTCTCCTGTGCTTAGTTTGTTGTAGTTTATATGATGTATTATAAAACAGTGGATCTACTCTGTTAGTACTTATTTAAAACACTAATTTCAGGTCAAAATAAATTTATTTCTGGGGCATCTGTGCTAAAAATTTTGCCTTTCAAAGCCAAACAACCATGTTTTAGTAAGTAAAGAAATAATATCCTTGACTATCAAGATTAACAGAATTAACTTTGGGGTTTTTTCCCCTAGAAACTCCTCTAAAATCATAGGGAATAATGCTGTAATCTCATATTTCTTTTATTAAGTGATGGCATGATGAATGGAAAATCTGGCTCTGAATTTTTCCACGTGAAATAAAGAGAATCTAAAAAAAATACAATACACTGCATTTCTTAGAGTTGGAAAATGGATCTTAATGTAGAGGTAGTTTTTGAAAAATGTGGTAAAAATATGTGCCTGGGTATACATACATGTATGAGCATGCACAGGAATGTAATTCTTTATGTAGAGATTAAGATAGACACAGATAACTAGAATAATATCCCAGAGAAATTCTGTTCACAAGAAAGGTTTTAAACATTTTGAATTGTCTTTTACTTAATTTTTAATTACATCTTAAAACATTTCAAAGTTATCCAAGGAAATGATGATTCACAGTAGTAGTATATCCAAATTAATCCAAAAATTATATTTGGAATAAAAGAAAAAGCACACATTTCATAAACTTTCTCTTTCTTTCTCTCCTCTCTCTCTCCCTCTCTTGCTTTCTCTCTCTCTCTCGCTCTCTCCCTCACACACACACACATACAGAGAAAAGGAGAACTCTCAATTTAAACATATGATACCAATATATTACTCAAACTAAAATGATACAAATAATTAATAGAAACAGGAATAAGGACATTTTCTCCACCACAAAACACAGAATGGTAATATACACACAGATGTATACAACATAAATTAGGGATTTAAAATAGACTATTGGTTTTTTTGGAATCAAATCTTGACGGGCCTACTTTTTCAGTAAAGAACTAGGTAACCAAAATTTCATTCAATCAAATAAGCCAATAAAGCTCCTTACAAATAAATTTTTAACCCATTTATGACCATGTAAGGGGGAAGATGAGTTCAAGGCACCATCATAAAAGACGAAAACAAAACCTGTGTTTATAAACAGGAAGTCAGCTGAGGCCCCTCCAGTTGTTATCACTGCTCTTACAATCATTTGGATTTCCTCGACCTCTGTCCTTATCTTTCTTTAGTTTACAGACAGGGATTCCTTGCTGGTTGGGATCTTGGCTGCAGTAGCAGCTGCTAACGTTCCCTGAGCACTTACCACGTGTCAGGCACTCTGCTAAATGCTTTTTGTGAGTCAGCCCTGGAAGTTATCGATATCCTCATTTTACGGACGAGGAAACTGGAAGATGAAAAAGTTTATGACTTGCCAAAGCGCACATAGGTAAAAAGTGGCAAGCCTAGGTTTACACGTAGGCATTCTGACTCCTGGTTCTTAACTACAAAGGGTGAGTTAGATTATCAGAGCCTTCATCTTCCTTAACTTCTCTCCAATGATGGAGCAGGTTTTTTCTTAAATGTTCTGTATTCAGTAAAGATTTTATTGCCACAAGTTTAGTGGCAGTATATAAACAACCTCAAGATCACATAACTGTCTTGGAAAATAAAACAAGCAACTTTACAGATGATAGGTATCCTACCTACAAATGCCATTTTCAGTATTATTTCAAAATGACTGAAAACACAAACTTACACTGTCGGCAGCATTAACTTCCACGCCAGCATCAAGTAGCATTCGGACGAGAGTCTCGTTCTGCTTTGTCTTTGATATCTATTACAAATGGCAGTAAAAGAGGTTTATTTACAAACATTTTCGTCTGAACTAGTCCAATTAATACGCTTCATTTTAATCTCAATACCCCTATGTGCCCACGATCTTCATAAAAATTTCCCCCCCCCATACCCTGTTCTAATATCAATTAGGTATAAAGCCAGGGTTCTCAGAGTGTGGATCTCAATTAGCATCAGTCCTGGGTACTTAGAAATGCAAATTCTGGGGCCCCACCCCAGACCTACCAAATCCTACTGAGAATGGGGTCCAGTGACCTGTCTTCCTTCCTGGCTCAAAACTCTCCAATGATGTCCCATTGCTGAGTGCAAAGCAAACTCTTCAGCCTGGCCTGCGAGGGCACACATGTTTTGGCCTCCACTTGCGTCCCCAGCCACCTTACTCTACACCTGCTGGCTCGCCTTGCCCTAGCCACATGGGTTGTTAGTTAGTCTTTCATACCCCAGGGCTCCCTAGTGCCATAGAATAGTTGCACTGAATATTCTATTCCTTCTGCCTAAAAGCCTTCTCCCTCCTCTCTGTACCTTGTAAATTAATCTTAAATAGCTTTGTAATAAAAAAATAATAATAATAAAAACATTGTTACTATCTCAGCCCAAGCCTCTCTTCCTCCAGGAAGCTTTCCCTGACCTAGTTGGCCGTGCAAAATCCCTTTCATCTGGGCTCTCATAAGACTGACCACTTCTCTCTGTACCACCTACTTCATGGTAATTTTCCATGTGTTCCGGCCTTCATTTGATTATGACTCATGTTTCACTGCCCTCTAACTGTCAGGAGAACAAGGACTACACCTGCTGGGTTCACCATTTATCCCCAGCACCCAGCACAGTGCCAGCACATAGTGGATCAATAATAAGCGTGTGCTGACTGACTGAACAAAAGGATGAAACTAACTAGGCTCCTGAGAAATCCACTTCTCCTGCCTAGTCCCCTGAGATGCAGACCACATGACAGATTGATTGCCACCCACCCCCAGTGTCTCATTGCTTGCACGGAACACAGCTCTTCCTGCTCAGCAGGGCATGTCCTGGAGGTCAGCCCCTTTGTTATTTAGGAAGCTCCATCCAGTGGTCTATTCATGACAATTAGTAGTTGTGCCCAGGCCTCCAGCTTTTAAACACTGGACTGCCAGAAAACTGGATTGTGCATCAACAAATTCTGAATGAAACTTGCTAATCTAGATGTTTTCTTCATAATCTCCAAAAATGTTTGGAAAAAAACAACAGATCCCCCCAACCCCTAAGCAACAAATATTTAAATTATTATGTACTAAATGCACAACTGATTTTTCAAGAACTTTTCAAGGATTTGAGCAGATTATATGTGTTTATAAGTGAATTATAGTTTTCTCTCTCCAATAAATCGAAGCATCAACATCAATGTTATCATATTTCATTGGAGTTCCTCTAATTCTGTAAAATGTAAATACCCAAAGAGGTAATAACATTTCTGACTGGTAGACTTTGTTCTGCAGCTTATGTTAACAGAAATAATCAACACCCCCAGTCTATTAACTACAAAGAGAAGGGAGGTTGGTCATTGAACTGGAGCAAATTACACATCCACTGAGTCATCTTTGAAAAGCGGAACTGGCCACAGGAGAAACATGGAAAACAGTGGATGAGTCACTACAAACCTGTCACTTTACATGAAAAACAACAACAAGATTCAAGTGTCATCTTCTACTCATAATAGAACTGCATTCCTACACCAACTACATCTTTATTCACTCAAGAACATTGCTGAGTGCCAAAGACTCATTCAAGCATGAATAAATTCATCAAGGTGAGAGGTGAATTTCACATATTCTGTGTAAAGATCTGTGTTTGTCAGCTATTGGCTGCAAATTTCTTGAGATCTGTTTTAAAACTCACAACAAGGGCGGGTCCTTAACAATCAGAAACTCAGACAAATAGGTACAAAGACAAACCCTTCTTACGAGAAAGGGTGAAAAGAAGTAGTAGGAGAGGAAATTTTAATTTTAATATTCAGGATTTTTGTGCTTCCTTAGGATGATTTTAAGCAAGATTAACTGCTTTTTCTAAATAAACACTGCACAGATGATTCTGCTGTTGATTAATTTATCTGGCTGCTTTTCTTCTTGCTTTACTTTAATTACAGCAATGCGGGTATGTTGGAAATGTCATTTATAGAATACAAATGAAGGGCTTATTTTGTTACTATTTCTTACTTCTCACTGGCCCAGCAAAGCGTGGCCAGCCATGCTGCTGTTCGCCTCCTCCTCCCTGACCCTTCGCTCTCGCAAGTGTACTCACCATGAGGAAATAACCAATGAGCAGGACAGGCATTAAGAGAACAATGAGCAGGTAGTCAAAGAAGGTAAATTTTTTCTTCACAGCATAATGCAAGCAGGTTCTTTCTTTCTAAAAATTAAGAAAAGAATTTGTATGAATGAAATACTCCATTTCAGATTTCCCATTTTAAGACTAGCCTGTCAAAAAGTTTAGTTGGTGCCTTTCATTTTATGGTACACATGCCATCTTTTTTCTGTGGAGTCTGTCTGATGAAAAAACCCAGATTTTCACTGATTAGAATATTGAACAGTGTATAGTCAAAAGAAAAAGCTGGGGGAGGGTCACAAAAAGATAACAGGAGAAATGCACATTTTAAAAGTCATCAAAAGATGGATTCTCACACATTTTAGTTTTGGGGAAAAATACACTGAGATATAAACACAGGACTAAATTCATTATAAAAATCTATAGTTATCCCTTAATCACCAATGGTATACAGTTATTCATTTTGTGGTTTGTTCATTAAAAAAAGCTTAACCACATGGCAATTTTCCTCTTTCTACATGTATACAGACAGTGCTAGAAGAATGGAAATAACTCAATTTAATTATTCAAGTACATGAATATTTATCAGGTGATACACTTAAGTTTCTAGGGATTGTAAGGAATATAAAGACTCAGGGCCTCATAATCAACCAAGGGAGGCAGAAAGACACCCAGATAAGTATAATGCAGAAAGCTGTCATGATTGCAATGCCAACCAAATCAATGAGCAGAGAGGGAAAGCCAGGGAGTAAAAGGAGGTTAACTTCTACTTGGGGGAGGCACTGTTCTTAAACAAGTCCTTCTGTTTTCCTAATATCAAGATATATATGTTCTCCATAGAAGTTTTATAAACTAGGCAAGAAGATAATAATAGAATGAATTTAAAATTACCCATTTTCAAACAGCCCAGAGTTAACTGTGACATTTTTAAATGTAGGTTCATACTGCATCTGCAAAATTATATATGCTTTTTTTCAATTAACATTTAGAATAGGCACATCTTTTCATGCCATTTCATGTTTTTAAATATACGACTATAAAGATGGCTTGGCTTTCTATTGAATAGAACTATTGTAATTTACTTAGATAAACCTTACCTTTTGGACATGTGAGTTTTTAACTTTTTATTTTTGTAAATAAGACTGCATGTACATCCTCATAAAGATTTGTCAATATTTTTAAATTTGTCCTTAACAAAAGTTTCTAAAAATATAATTCCTGGCATAAAAGGTTTTAATATTTTTCATATTGTGCTACTAAATTGTGCTCTAGTAAAATGATAATGATTTCAACTTTCTTTTTCCTGATCAACACATGATTTCCTTTTTTAGGCCTGGTCAATTTGACAGACCATAATACATCTGTATATATCTATATCTATATCTGTCTATATCTATATCTATATCTATCTTTACGTTTTAATTTGCTTCCCATAGAATCAGTGCTCTCTATTAAGCATGTGCATCTGAATCACCAGTTTTTAAGGCCTTTACTTAGTACTTCTGAAAATAACTCAAAAACATAGACTTAAGAAATGAGAAAGCACTGGTTCACATTATTAATGTACAAAGATTAGTACTTGAGAAAAATAAAAAAGATTAACCATTTAAAAACATTAAAATATTTTAAAAATAGAAAATGCAAAGCAGTTATTCTGATAAAATCTCTATTAATCTAAAGTATCCACTAACATCTTTTCCACGATATTTATAACATGAGGGGATCCCAGGAGGCTGGCTCAAAACAGCAGGAGGTTATTCTCTGCAAGACAGAAATAAGGGTGCCTCCAAAGCCCTGTGCCTGTGCTGGCAAACATCTCTCTCCATCTGCTTCCTTATAGTAAGTCTCTTAAGAGAGGATGTGGACATCTTTCTTTGCCACCTCTCTCACCATAACTCCACATACCTAGTTCTTTGGCTGGGAGATCATGTCATACTTTACTAAGCTCTAGACTCTTACATTCAGAACAGGCATGGCTTGCTTTGAAATCGAACCAAGCAAAAAAGGATAAAATAGTATACACATACAAGAAAGCTCAGCAATGGTCTAATTTTCTGACATTACATTATTGCTCTGAAAGGGCTGCTCTTTAACTTGGAAGGGGCAAATGGGGCCCTACAGGCTGTTTTTCCTCATTGAATATTCATGCGTGAATATAGGGCATTTATAATTATTACAAACAATGACTTTCTATGTTTACTCAGGGTACTTTAAATGTTGCCTTTACTATGATGTCAGCACTGGAAGTTCCAAAAGGGCTCTGAAAGGACGTTCACAGAAATAGACACATATTCTGCTCTTCCTCACTGAAAGCCCCATGTCAGCAAACACTGCATTCTTAATGCCTTTCTATGTGGCTTCAAGTAACCTCTGGTTCATCAGCTTACTTGTCCTTGGCAATTTTTTTACTATCATTCTTTTATTCTATAAGCAAACTATAGAATCTTCTATGGATCAGTAAATTGACATAGAAGGTAAAAATCTAACTAATGAAATAGCACCAGGAGGTCAATATTTTCCCCCAGGAAATCTCTCCCATTACTTCTGAAACAGTGGAGGAGGAGCTGGGAGAGAAAGGGGGTTCAAGGAAAAGCACGGGAAGCAGAAGGCAAAGAAAGGAAGCTCTATCCAGTCAGAAAAGCAAACTATTCTCTTCCTTTTCAGAAGTACAAGGACATAATTACCCCCCTGCTGACTGAACTATGTTTTATTTTGCTTTTTATCCCAATAAAATGGCCTCAGCATGTCAGTCTCTCTAAAATAAAAATTGTTGGTATTAGGAGCTACAAGCATGAGCTTGCATCGATGCCAGGAGAAAGGAATTACCGTGGTCAGTTGCTTTCTCTACTCCTGTGTCATGGCCTTACCTGGTTTTTTAGGTTCACATCAGCATTTCGTTTCAAAAGGAAGGACACGATTCTCAGGTGCCCTCGCCGGCAGGCACAGATCAGGGGGGTGTCTCCATTAAAGCCATCCTGAACGTTGATGTAGTTTCTGTCCTCCCTCACCCACCTCCACACTTGACCAAAGTCATTCTGGTAGGCTGCCTGGCAGATGGGCTGAGGAGAAAAAACAAAAGCAGAATTTTAAATGTAAGCATAATTAAGCCACAAAAAAGAAGAAAAAAAAATCATTATCCAGTATCAAAATTCATTGTTGATGAGATTTTTGGTCTCAGTTATGCCTACTGTTAAGTCTAGGACAAACATTGAGTCTCTAAGGAATTCCTTAAGATCTCCTAAATTGTTTGGCACGTATAAATGTTTGTCAAATGGATGAATGAGAGAGTCGATGGATGCAATATTTCAGATTCGATTCAGTGAAGAAACTGTGTGTTGTGTTCATGGGTAGGTAATTCTTGTCAGAAAAACAAGATTTTACTGATGATAAAATAGGCATATTGGGGGAGTTTAGGGCAGCACTAAGTGAAAGGATAAAGATGCATAGCCCCCTGTACTCAATGAGCTTGGCAAAGTGGGGAAAGATATATTTTAGATAATTAGCATGCAAATAAATTATGTAATTAACTGCAATTAGATGTCTTTTGGAAAGCACTATAAAGAACTCTGCAAAGCATGATGGGAGTTTAACAGTGAGACCAAAGTGGACGTCATCTTGCCCACTTTCCCCACTCTGCTCTCCTCGTGGGCTTGTCTCCTTTGTTCAGTACCCCACATTTAGTTACTTCCATCTGGGCCTCTGCCCCTACTGCTCTCTCTGCATAAAACACTTTTTCTCCTCTCTTCACCTGGCTAACTACTCCTCCATCTTTTATGTCATAATTTGATTTTCATTTTTTCTAAGTCTTTCCTGACCCCAGCATTCCTTTGCAGGAACTAGCCTAACTGTAACTATTTTCTTAATTGTTTATAACTGTGTGTTTCAGGCTAGCATGAGTCAGGAGTGGGTGAAGCAATAGTGAGAGAGAAAAGCCATTGAAGTTCAGGCTAGACACTCCATGTAGTTAGAGGTTACAGGATTCAGTTCACCACCTTATCCCCAGCACATAACATGGGGCACATAGTAGGCAAACGGGAAACGTCTTTGGACTGATTTTAATTGTGTAAAAGAAAAGCACTTAGAATAATACCTAGAATGTGGATAGTGCTCAATTTATGGATGTAATTAGTATTGTTTATTAAATCATTCTTTAATTTGTTAACAAGGTCAAACCTGCATACTGTGCGAGCCACGGTTGCTAGGGGGAAAAAGTATAAACCATATTGCTGTTAACCATCTGAAATTTGTTTACTGATTGAGGATATAAGACACACACTCACAGGACTAAACAATAAGAAAACAATTTTAAAGGAGTACAGACTTGGGCACATAAGCACCTGCAGCAGCTAAGACAGACCAGTAAGCAAGCCAAGTGGTGCATCTGCTAACCAACTCATGTTCTAACATAGCCAAATATTATAATAAGTGAGCTTTTAAAAGTAAGATACCTTTAAACCCCAAGACCTACTCATGAAAGAAACATCCTAAAGAAAAGTCAACTCAATAGCAGATTAAGAGGCAAACTTTTGTAGCCCAGAATGAAATGAGCATGTTACAGGGGTTCAAACTTGTAATGAAAATGCACAATTACACAAATCACCCTTCCTACTATCCTAAAGTCCTTCCTTTACCAGGCCTCCTCACCAGTCGGGCTCAGCAGTACCTTGGGACTGTCTGACTGACATAGAAACGACCAGAGCAGTTGAAAAATCACATATCTGGTGTCAGAAAACTGGGTTGTAGTTATGGTTCTGCTGCTACCTCCTGGGTGACCATGGATGATTTTGTTCCTTCCGGGTGTCTGTGTCCTCAGTTACCAAATAAAGGAGTGAAGCAGAAGTTCTTTTGGGTTCTCACACTCTGTGACGGTCACACTTCTAGATCTCTAATCTCTCCCCACCCAACACTTTTTCCACATTAACTGCTAGGGTCTAGGGTTAGGGTTAGTATTATTTAAGTACATAATTGCCCAGATGTGATGCCCAGACACTTAGGTTTAAATAAAAAGTACAACAAAACTAAGTATAATAAGACAATGTAAAGTCACCAACTCTTAATTTTGCTAATTAAATGCATTACAAGCCACAGCATCATTTCATTAAATAAAAGATATTTTAAACAAAAGATAAATATAAATCCAAACCAAGAATATTTTAACAAAATATATAAGGATATCACCACAGGAGAAAGTAGTTCTTCATATTAGATAGATTTAGCCAAATGGAAAAAAAAAAATTATCTCATTGTCCTTCTAAAAAAAAATTTGCCCTGGCCCATGTGGCTCAGCGGACTGAGTGCCAGCCTGCAAGCCAAGGGTTGCCAGTTCTTCCCAGTCTGGGCACATGCTTGGGTTGCAGGTCAGGTCCCTGGCTGGAGACCTGCGAGAGGCACCTGATCAACGTACCTCTCACACATTGCTGTTTCTCTGCCTCTCTTTCTCCCTCTTTTTCCCTCTCTCTAAAAGTAAATAAATAAAATCTTAAATTTTTTTTTTTTACTATAAACCAGCAAAAATTTGCCACTGATCACTAGGAATCATAAACTACCATTTGGAAACTGATCGTCTAGCATGCAGAACTTGAAAACAGGTGGCTACAGAATTCATTTTTTTCTTTTTAAATTATTGTACAACATTTTAAAAACTAGGATATTTCATGTATTAATTGGCTCTCCAACTTCTCTTTAAAAATTGAAAGATTTGGCAACACCAGGTCCACATTCCCATAGGACGCCAAATAAAACCCTCTGTGCTCGGGCTTCTCAAAATCTTTCCTGAGACTCAACTAACACACGAAAAGGGAAAGGTGGATAGTTTTCCTGCAGTCACTTGTTTCTGAGTGCTTTCTCAATCCCACGAGCGATATTACTTAAAATATTAATCTAAGCTTATCCTTCAATATTTCCTAGTCTTCCTTCATCCAAAACATAGAGTTTCTGTTTTTGAAAAGTAAAGTACATGCCTGGTTCAGTTAAACATACGAGTGATTCGTTGCATGAATTGTAAAATCTGCTGGAAAACCATCTATGCTGTTATAAATTCTCAGTCTCCACAAGGGGGCAGCTCAGTGTCATAAAAGCACTGACAAAAGAGGGATAGGAAAGCCAATAGAAATGTGCTGTCTGGCAAGCCGGGTATGAGAAAGGAGGGGGCGGGGCGGGGGAAGGACACTGTCCATTTGGATTGAGGGAAGAGTCAAATTCTGTTGGCCCCTAAAGTTCCTGGAACTTGGAGGAAATTGAGATGTAGAAGAAACCAGTAAGAACTTGGGAAATTACCATGAAAATTCAGTCCCCGAATAACTCTCAGAACTGTTCTGTCCAACTTCACTGCCAAAGTACTAGTTCAGACCTTCATAATTCTCACCAAGACTAATGGCTAATTAACCTGCCAATAATTGGCCTTACTTCTTAGTCTCATCTATGCAGCTCTAACCCATCCTCCAAAAACTGCAGCTTCTTATCACTTTCCTGCCGGAAACCTTCAGTGGTGACCAAGCAGATTAGGGTGCTGTCCCCAAGCTGGCACACATGATTCTTCAAATCTCACAAATCCTGTCTTTCCAACTTCATCTCCCACCACTCACTATCGGTACCCTTGACCTAAGTAAATAAAGATGGGTGTTACTAACAGCTATCTCCCCAACTAGACTGTAAACTCCATGAGATCAGGTGTTGTGTCTGTTCTTGTACAACACTGTATCCCCAGCACCCAACAAAGTGGGTATTCAATATATATTTGGTGAGCAAAAAAGTAAATGAATAAATGATCATGAGCTTTTATTGAGCATATCATTTATTTCATTTAACCCTCACAACAATCCTATAGGCTAACCCTGCACTACAACCCTGTATTATTATTAGAGCCATTTGGTACAGATGAAATGGAGGGAGGCTGTCTTCCTTGCCAAACTCACACAGCTCAGAGCTGACGATGTTAGGAATCTAATCAAGGGGAAAGACTACAGAACGCATACCTTCTGGCTCTAATTACTTTAGGCAGTTTTAAAACACCCTTCAAAATGTCTTCTGGCTTCAGGGCTCTGTGTTTGATACTGTTTTGGTTGCATTTGCACCCTGAGACTATAGGCAGGACAACCTATAGCCTCAGGAGACTTATCAGTTACCTTCTGCCCTGGCCTGTTGGTGTCCAAGCCCTCTTGGTTATAGAACCAGAATTTTTCTCCAAACACACCTAGAATTAGCAATATCTGCCAAAAGGTGAAGAAGTAGTGGTCAGAGAGGTTGTAGGAGAAACTAGAAAAATTCATGGGCCAGATGAAAATGTTTCAAGAAGGGGTACAAAGTCAAAAGAATGAAGTATTGTATAAGAAAAGATTACTGGATTTGATCATTAATGACCATTTAGAGATCAATTTTTATAGAGTGATGAGGCAGAAGGCAGAAGACAAGGGCCTGGAGTACATGGTCTATGAAGAATTCGAAGATGTGACTGGAGAGAAATATGTAGTAACTTTGGCAGTGAAAGCTAAGAATGAGCTTGTAAGTACATGGAGGGGAGTAGCAGGGACCAGCCAACATTCTGCACGTTTGTGGGCAAAGTCAGGGGGTTATAATACAGGCTCTGGAAGCAAATTTCTAAGTTCCAATCTCAACTCTACCATATAACTATCACTTGGACAACTTAAACTCTCTGTGCTCAGTTTCCTTCACCATTTAATAATCACATCTTCTTTATGAGGAACTATTAAAGGTGATTGTGGGGATGAAGCACTTAGCTCAGATCTGACTCACAATAAACCCTCAATTAATGTTAGCTGCACTTATAATTATTAAAACATAAGGAGCCAGTGTTGATGGGCAGGGGTGGTTATGGAAAAGTAGGTAAGTGCTCAAACAGAGCGGAGAGGTGATAAGCTAGAGAACGAAAATGGATGCAAGTGCCTTACTAAACCGAATGACAACACTGGGTCTAAGGCCAAAGCAAGGGAACAAAGTGATTTGGGGCTAGAGAGAACTTTACATTGGCCATTTTTTTGCCAGAAAATCTGAGGCTTCATCTTCATGCATTAGGTTAACATGTATTTATCATAAGTAGATA